TTTTTTAGGGTGGGTTAAAATGAAATCAGATTAAAATGATAGGGTTTAGGGGTAGGTTTTATAATAACCAAGTATAAGTGGGTTTTAGGAGGACAAATAGAAGCCCCTCATTTCATTTTAATCCGATTTCATTGATCCGCGACATTTATTAGTAACAAAAAATTATCGTTAAATACTATAATTTTTAAAACCTTTTAAGTGATATTTTGTCTTCTAAGCAAAGTATATTAGGTTTAGAATTATTTTGCATAGTGAAATTTTACGCCTCTTTAAAGCTTGTTCTCAAAATTACTTTAAACCATATAAATTAGTTACCCAGGCAATTTGATTTACACTAGCCAATCAAACGAATTTCATCCTATGAGAAATTTTCCGTAAAATGAGAACGAATATCCGCTATTGTGCGACACAGAACTGTCACTTTACTTTCTACAATGAGCTTTTCTTGGAAGGCCGCCGGTATTAGGTTCGTTTAATAGCAAAATAAAGAATAAACACAAAATATATTTAGGTAGTATTAATTACAGCAACAAATTACTTGAATTTGTATAAACACAGCTACTTGAAATATACACAAATATGTGCCCGTGCAGTCCGTAACGCCTTGAAAGAAGAACAACGGTTAATAGCGCAAAGGCGAGACGAACAAGGGCTTAAATTTGCAAAGTGGGAATCTGGTAAACAAGGAGAACTGGTATGTAATGGATAATTCATATTAAGCAATCTATTTTTAAAATCGATAAACAATGTTTTTTCCTTATAGAAACCCGTCGATAATGCTTTGGGTAACGTTTCGGGCTAAACCCTATTCCCAAAACTCAACTCACGAAAAACGGATGTCCTAAAATCTAATCTGTTTCAAATTAGAATTAAATAAAGTTCTGTTACCGACTAAATAACAATAATAATCAGATTTTCAATTCGACTGTCCATAAAATAGGAGAATCGGTTTCGATCATTACAATATCATTAATTAAGTGGTTAGACGTGCTAATCATCTCACCAAAAGAGGTGGAACTATTCGCTATAACAAAATTACTATCAGATTCGACGAAATTTATGGAAAAAATGGGATTGGAGTGACGAAAATCAACATACTAAGATTCCACTCTAACCCCGTAGTTGTTACAATAGCTCTTTCAATGCCAACGGGTATTATTCCACAGCTCGGGCCCTCAATAGCGTGATTACAATGTATTTGATGCTTTCCCTTCAAATGAACAAAAATCGTGATATTAGCTTTCAGTTTATTCGACGAAGTACACAAAATTAACAAATCATACTTTGTCGAGTAAAATAGTCATATTTTGATCTGATAATAGGTAAATCCGTCTCTCATTTTTTAGCTTATATAGATAATGAATATTTGACATTGCTTGATCCACTCTACCTCCAAATGTGCCAAGTGCAACAATCTCGTGCTGTAAACAGTATAGTTTTAATGAACAAATAGATTACAAGGTATTAAAAATAAGCTACCATACCTTTACAGAAGATTCTCTTTCCTTTCTGCGAACAAGTTCAATACATTTCATGAAATCTGTGGAATTTTGATCCGGATCCTGTTCAACCTCAGTACCCTTATCAATAGCCTTTTGTTCAGTAATATATTTGCTAAAAGAATAAATCGAATGTTTGCTTACTTTAGAAATATAAAAATCTCTGACATCATCTCTCAAAGAGTCCAAATCTCCTCTGATATAGTGAGGGATATACCTATAAATGGTCATATGTTAAAAACCGAGGATATTGCTACCGCTCAATAATGGATTAAATTATCGTCACTAACATATGTTGTTTATCAGTTCCTTC